CTTGATCTATGTGACATAAGCATCTATGATGTTCAGGAGAAGCACAGACATTTTCAGAGATCCTGAAACTTTTTGCAGTGTAATAGTCCAAACCTTTCATTCTTAAATAATCTTATACATGACTGACCAGATTTTTAAAGCCATTTAAGGGCTACACAGATAAGGTGATTGGCCCTTAAATGATGTGTCTCTATCAACATGGCATAGGGAAAATCGTTTTTCTTAAGGATGGATACAAATGCTTAAACAAATACAGAGGTATGAGAGCCAGCCAGAGGGCACAGCTGGGTGCAGGAGAGCAATCACTTCTCTGCTGCTCAAATATCTGATTTGTCTGAGGACAGTCTGGCTCTAGGGAACAACCCCTGGTCTTTGAGAAGGGTGCTTCCCTTGGATCCAAATCCTTGGGTTCTAAAAAGAGTCAAGGATGTGCTTCTCTTTTCAAAATGAAGCTCTAAGAAATAGCTCTGCTGGTGCTTTTCAAAAATTGTCTTCTGGCCAGAACAATGCCCCAAAGATGAAACACCTGGGAATCCTTCCGTTTCAGAGGCTGATTCAGAGCCAGAAGTGTGCCAGGATTTGGTGCACAAATGGGGTTAATTTGTGCCTAAACTTGGTTTTCTAAAGCAGACCTCTGGTCTAAGCCAAACACCTCCCTCTCTGTTCACTGGGCAGAGGAAAATCAGAATTTTATCCAGCTGAACCTGAGTCTTTAAAGTAGGGTAGGTGTGATTGTCTCATGGAAGCATCTACTGTTCTCTGCCTGGTATAAGGAAAGAGATTTAAATCTTTCAGGTGTATGATGTGAGACAAAACCAGACAAATTTCCTTGCTCCCATTGATGCTACTAAAAATTAGAAACCCATGCACCTGAAGGGTCCTTGACCTTTATTGCTTTTTTTGTGTTTTAATTATCCCTTTCCACATTTCTGAACATTCACATCTACTTAAGATTCTGAGGAATTCAAGTTCCTAAATAATAAGGCCATAAAAGTACAATAAATCAGCAAGGCATTCATTTAATCTTGCATATTAATGAAACTTTTTGTTCTAATGCTACGAACAAGAACGCCCAAACATTTTTTAATTTCTACCTCAATAATTTTATTATGTAACCTAGCATTTCTCTGTTTATCAGGGATCTTATTGTTCCCGTATCACTAAACAAAATTTGCAGTGATGTTTCTAAGTACCAAAATCGCAGTACAAACTGATTGCCATAGGAGAAAAAGTCAACAGGGAATATATTTTTCGGAAACAGATAATTACTTGATAATTTTAATATGTAGGAGATATGGGTGGGTGGGAGAAAAACAAGAAGAGCTTTAGAGAAAATATTTTCTTTGTGGAACAGAGGAGTTCATAAAAAAAAAACAAGTTTGATCAAGGCATGAATACACACATGGTGATATGCTGGATTTCTATTATGCATAAGCCAAAAAAAACCAGTATAATTCAAAAGAATTAATCAGTTGATAAAATGGAAGTAATCAACTTTTCTGATTCCAAATTTTTCTCCAGCAGCCATTCAACCTAGATTTTGTTGGCATTGGTCTTGCTTTCAGTGCCATTGGAAACTCATCCACAGAAAGGCTTTCAAATCTTTATTTTGTTGGAATGACAAGGTCATTGAATTAGAAGTGTTGCTATTAACTTGGGACCTGATTCTGTCAACATTTATGCAGGTGCCTAATTAATTCATGTGGTTAGGCTGAGAGATTTTAATGGACCACATTTTTCAGTCTAAGCATATGTGTGACTGTTTTCAAAGCCACAGCTCAAACTAAGAAACCAATATTTAATTTTTCCCCAGAAGTATTGATTTGTTTCTGAATCTAAAATTTATAGCCAAGCTCGGTGCATAATAAATGAATCTGATGCATTTACAAGTTTTAGCTCCAGATTCAAATGCACACCTTTGCCTGAATTTTACTTGTGGTTCTTTCACCTTTGGCACACAAATATCCTTCTTTGTGTGGTAAATAATAGAGAAAAAAGACTGGAGGTTTTTTTCATGGAGCTCAATTACCTCACCTGGAGAATGATACATTTCTCAACTCAGTTTTCGATTTTCAAAAACTTCACTGTTTAAATGACCACATATGCTTTGAGAAGCAATAAGTAATAGCCTCCTATTAAAGGTGTTTTTTTCTTGCTTGTCCAATCAAAAGTAAGCACTGATGTAAAAATACAATTGGCAAGCAAGCAATTCAAAATACAGTTTAATATCTATTCCCATTCTGAAACAGCACATAATGTTCATGTGTGGTATTGTAAATGAGGGACTAAATTCTAGTCAGGTCTGCAAAATCAGAACTGGTCAGAGAAGCTTCCACACCCAGTGAAGGTAAGAAATGTCAGGAATGAATACCTTATGTTCAGGAATATGAATAAAGTGTAACTTTCCACCTTACAGCCATTAAAATTTAAATTTCCCTTGTTTTGTTCTAAGAATGTCACGTGTGGCCATGACAAAGTCCAGCTGTGTCGTGTCTGCTTCCCCTCCATCGCTGCCCTGTCAAGGGAAATATTGTAAAAGCTTGGTGCAACTTATTTCCACAAATCTGCTGCCTGTCCAGCATCTGCTGGTTATTAACAGATAATTAAACATTAATTGTGCCATGTCATGTTTCATTTTATTTCGGGGTACTGAAATTATGTTGAATATAGTATAAATATTCCTTCCTTTCTTTTCTGCCTTTACATGAACCTTTATATAAGGATTATATACCTTTATCTAAAATAAACAAGTGCTTCTTTTTTTTTTTTTCAAATCCCTGGAATTTTTACCATTAATTTTTTTTGCATTCTCCAAAAATGGTTCAGAAATTGCTTTGACTTTTTTTTTAAGAACTACTGGGTAAATCTTACTGTACTCTGTTAATTTGAACACATAGGTAAAAGATAAATTTCCTTATGCTTATGTAGATGTTCTTCAAACTGCCCATTCCTAATTCAGGCCTGTTGCACCTACTATTAATTATATCAAATAACTGACTTCCTCTGCTATTAAGAAATTTTGAACAGAAATTTAAGGTTCAATTTAATTTAACCCCAAATATTAGGGTTCTTTACCTCCTTTTTTGTTTTTTATTGTTGTCATTATTGCATCTCTAGTATTACTTGCTTTATCCCAACAACCCAAAATAAATTCTCGTTTATTCTTTAGGTTTATTTGTTTACATTGTATTTTTAATGATTGCTTTTTGATATTCAGGCTTGAGACTTCCTTATGCAATCATATTAGTCTCCTACTACACTTTCAAGTGTTCTATTAATTAAGGTAATTTGATATATGCATTTATTAAATACTCTTTCCAAAACTTCCATCTCTCTCAAACTTCTTTTCTAATTAAAATATTTCCCCTCTGCCTGACAATGTTTTGTTAATGTTTATTTTTTTAAAGTCTGTTGTTGCTGTCAGTTTTTTCCTGTTTCTCCAGTGTATCCCAGGAACTTACTGAACATCATCTGCATGGAAAATACAAATCTGTTCTTTCATCTGTCTATATGAACATAAATATATATATGTGTATATATATACATATAGTGATGTATAGACTAGATTTGAATCACTATAGCCCTTTAAAGGTTTCCTCATTTGCATCCAATGCATAATATTTAAATGTCAGAAACAGAAGGTTTGAGCTCGTGGTTGCTGCCACTTCTTCAAAATGTAAACTAGTCTTAAATCATGTTTTTTTGTGGTTTTAGTTTAAGTCAGATGCTGTAAAATAAATTTAAGAACATTCAGTCAAGAAGAAATTGTGGTTTCCTATCACAGTAGAAGTTCCTGGGAAAGAATGTCATTGCTCTTGATGGAAATAACACTGGAAATTTCCCTTTGTATTCATCATATGGGTTCAAGTTGCCAATAAGTGTATTAAAAATAGGGAAAATATGGGCAAAAAAAGGTAATATTTTAATTAAAAAAATAGTAAATTCAGTGATACATGATCTGGATATCTAAATGCTAGAATAAAAGTGATATGAATATGATGAAAAGATGGATATCTATAAACTTAAACTTGACCCTAGTTCCTTAATTTCTTAAGAATTAATCCAATTCCATCTTTTTATCCAGCTTTCTAATCAAACATTGTTTATGTTTGTCCTCTGTGAGCATAGTCCTCCAATATTAATGTTAAAATTATGAAAAGTAAACAAGTACAGGAATGTAGGTGCAGTATAATCAGTGGGACCTGAAGTTCATGTTTGTAGGATTTGGGTTTCAGTAGTTAGAGGACTGATTTGAAGTGTTATTCTCCTGCAAACATGATGTGCAGGAAGTGATTATACCTTCAAAGGAATCCTCCATGAAACTTGAAGAACAGTCTCTTGCTACTTTAGGCAATGCTCTGAAACCGTTTACAAAAGTAAATAATAGATTTAGATTGTATATTAAATAAGTTCATACCACAGCTTATAATATTTTTAGCCAGTATCTATGGCTATGTCTTGTGTTATAAACATGGTGATAGTGAAGAAACAGAAGATTCGTTTAGGTGTCTTCACAAAAGTACATCCTTGATTTTGCATTTTTTCCCTCATAAAATTATTATTATTTAGTATGAGCTAGAGTGTAAATTATGTAAATTAGCAGACATAAGGGCTACAGTTTGCTTTGATCACTTGATACAAATATTTGCTGTGCTCATTACAGGTTGTAAAGTTCTTAAATGAACTTTACCGCCTGCTCAGATATCTTGCAGCCTTTTAAAAGTTAGTAAAACACAGTTTTTGAAGAAAGTTTTCTATTCTTTCTTGCACAGTTGGAGGAGAGAATATAGAGGTGGTTATTTCCATGCTGTCAGATAAAGTGCCAGAGCTGTCCACGTGCAGGGCGGGTGCAAACCCACCCATGAGCCTCCCTGTGCCTGGCAATTTCCAGGGCAGCACGCGCTGTGCCTCCTGGAAACTATCCATGCCCCAGAGCAGCAGGAAAGCGTTCAGGAGAGAACACTTTCTCATCCTGCTGCCTCTCCTTGTGTTTCACCCAGTGATGCCACGTTTTGCTGAGCAAGTGGAGGTGGCCATTGAAGCCCTGAGTGCCAACGTGCCCCAGCCCTTCGAGGAGAACGAGTTCATCGACGCCTCCCGCCTGGTCTACGACGGAGTCCGGGACATCAGGAAAGCTGTCCTGATGATCAGGGTATGTAAAGCACCTGGGGAGTGGAAATTGGGATTTACAGGGAGGTGTCGTGGGTAAGAGCAATGCAAAAGTTCCTTGGAATTGGCCTCATGTTGTAATAAGGTTGAAAAGGTTGACATTGGAGCAGGCATGAAGCAGAAGTACATACAACAACAAAAGAATTAGTAAATAAAGAGATGAGGTTATTTAGTGGATGAATCACAATTAGTATGTTAATCAGCTAGAAGATTTGATCACAACTGCCAATAGATGCAAACTTCATTACTGTTTCCATAGTAATGGCATTAATTTGGCAAGCTCCTAAAGTTTGTATGGATTTTTGTTTGTTTGGGGTTTTTTCCCCATGTCTGTGTGCTGCCTGGGATGCGAGGTAGGTCTGGTAAAAATCTAAATGAATAAATTATCTTGCTGCTCCAGTCAGCTGCTGCAGGGATGGTTTTTAATGTTTACTGAAGTAAAAAACATGTTATTTCAGTGTTGACTAACCAGTTGATTTAATTTGCTTAGACATCTTTTAATAAAATAAACAAACAAATAAAAGACACCACAGAACAACATCATTATTGTGATAGTAGGTGTGTGTTGCTTTTCACTTTAGTCAGCAGACAAAGATTTTAGAAAGAAATACAGCAAACCAAACCTGGTTTGGACATCTCTTCAGCAACTGAAACTTTTATTCAAAACCCAAATTACTTTGAATCTGCCCTGATGAAAGCCATGTACAAGTAAAGGTATGGAGAAAATCACAGAGGAAACTGTTGAGGCAAATAACAGGGCTGAAGCATCAACTGATCCCTTTGAGCAAACAGGTAATGTGCATTTGTGGTTGTCAGTGTATTATGGCACTGATGTAAGACTTCAGGCAGTTGGAACCCTCCAAAATAGCTTCATTTTAGTCATCTGTCACTATGTATTAACATTTAGAGGAAAAGCTTTTGACAGGCATAATTTTGTTCTGCCAAACATAAATTCTGTTCTCATATCCAGTGCTCATCCCAGGTGGCCTGTATTATAGTCAGGGCTTGTGATGGGGCAAGCCCATCCTGTTCTCTGGGTTTGCAGCATTAGAGGATTCGCAGCCCTCCTGGAAGGGCAGGGAAATCTTTACTTGAATTATTCCCTGTGAGAGTGGTAGAGGCCTGGGAAGCTGTGGCTGCCCCTGGATCCCTGGAAGTGTCCAAGGCCAGGTTGGATGGGGCTTGGAGCCACCTGGGATGGTGGGAGGTGTCCCTGAACATGGCAGGGGTGGGACTGGACGAGCTTTAAGGTCCATGTTGACCCAAACCATTCCAGCATTCTGTGATTCTGGGAAATGAAAGAGCTGCATAGTGGAGGATCTCTATTTTCCCTGTGATTTTGCAGTTCCTTAATCTGTAACAACAGTTTCCAAACTTTTCTTAGGACAAGAAGAACTGCTTAGCACACTTCAATCTTTTCTAGTCATTTTGAACTGTGATTGTGGCATTGACTCAATCATCAGGTGGGATCTCCTACAAACCCAGGTTTCCCAATCCCCTACACAGAGTTCCAGCTTCCAGCAACCCCTTATACATCAGAGTTATCCCCAAGAGTTTGCCATGAGATGTCTTGAAAACATCTCCATCCTGGTGAGATGTTTCTAATTTTAAATTTTGAATTTTGAAGGCCTGATCACTTCTTTTGTCACTGCCTGATTCTTCTGTGTACCTGGAGAGCTGATCAGTCTTCAGGCTTTTCAGTCTCCTTAGGAAAATCCAAAGTTACTTTTCCCATTATATCACTATACTTTCCACCCATTGTATGATATGAGTTAATGAATTCTGTTTGCCCAGATTAGGAAGATTTATTTTTGCCTTCAGACAATTAACTTATTTATGGAGCTCAGTGTAATACTCCTTACCCAGGCAGAGAACTAAAGCACAGAAATGGACTCATTATCCACGTGAGTTAACTGGAAAAATCCACATATATAAGCTTACACAGACCAGAGTTTGCTGAATCAGAACCTTATTTGCTGTAGAAAAGAAAAATTTAGTTTCACTTTGAGATACTCTTTAACATTTCCATTTGAACATCTCACACTGCAATGGGATGTATAATTAAAGGGTGAGGCTATAAAAGCCTTTAGAATATTTTCATCTAATAATCTATCAAATATTATGCACCCTTTAATTCAGGTGGTAAAACTTCTTCAGAATTGCAAGAAAGGAAAAAAATCCAATCTTGCAAACTTTTTAGAGCATCTGACACAATTATTTTCTGGCAGTGATTGTTCATGTGCAAGCCGTGAAAGATTGAATTTGTCTGAGATGAGTCCCCTCATTCCAGATAGTAAATAAAGCTGCCTTTTAAATTAATTTTGGTTGGTATTATTATTTTTAGTAAGCTGAAGGAAAGGGTGAATACTCTCTGTTCTATTTTTTCCTCCAAAGGGGAGAATTTATTGTCCCTCTGGAGGAGAAGGGAGATTCATTTTTTTCATTGAGGACTATTATTATTATCTATACAGAAGAAAAATATATATTCCACAAGTTAAGAAGTAGTATAAGTGAATTTAGGAGTATAATTATAGAAGCTAGAAATAAAATAGAAAATAATAACTTTGTTCCAACACCTTTCCTTTTATTGTGTAAGGATGAAATTGCACTTTGTGTTTTCACAGCTGCTTATGAAATTCTCTCAGTTATTGGCCAGAAACCCTCTCTACAGTCAGGAGGACTCACAATGGCACCTTTTCTCATTCTTATGCATCTCCAAGGCCAATTTATTAAAACTTACTTGTTTTAAACATGGCCTTTGCCATTAGCAACCTCTTCTTTAGAGGCATCTACATCAGCCTGAGTGTTACATTTGTTTGGATCAGGAGTGCACTGTTGGAGCCAATGTCCCTCTTGCCATGTTTTAGTTCATGTTACAGAGTAGACTTTAAACATCTCTGAACTTCATTATTTGTGGGGGATGCCTGGAGATGCTCTCTGGAGGCATCTTAGAACCCAAGGGAATGGCTGGAGCTGTGTCAGGGGAGGTTTAGGCTGGATATCAGGAAAAGGTTCTCCACCCAGAGGGTGGTTGGGCACTGCAACAGGTCCCCAGGGAAGTGTTCACAGCACCAGGTGTTAAGATCTGGTTATTGAAATTGTTAGAGAGATGGCTCTGCCTGTGTTAAGATGCAAACGAGACCATATGCTGAAGTTGATAATACAGATTTTATTTAACAGTTGTGTGACATAGAGAGAGAGAGAGAGAGAGAAAGAGAAAGAGGGGCAAGGTGGGAGAGAAAGAGAGTGACAGACAGATTAAGGCTGACAGCATCTCATTGATCATCTTCTGGTCTTCTCAGTGGTGAGGGTCCCACAAAACACAGAGTTCAGTGGGTGAATGTATGTTTGGGCTAGCTGGGATTGCCTGCTGCCTCCCCTGGGGGGACAAGTTTGAAGCTGTTTATTGCAGCAGACTCTGGGTCTGTGCCACTGCTTTGTATCACGTGCAGTTCTCTGCTGCAGGGCCTCAGCAGTGAGTCTGGGGGTGTTTTGGGGGTCTTTGATGGCTTTATGATGGTTTTTGACCCCTCCTCTGCTGCTCCTCACACCAATGTCCTGTGGATGTGGCCACCCCAGGGTGGGTGGGTGGGTTTTACAATTGAGCCAGTTTGTAAGGCAGGGTGGGTGTTCATTCCCTCTACCACACACCCAAAATCTCTCCTCCTCCCCATCAAATCAAGCCAGAGCTGATTCTTCTCCCCCAGCCTTGTTTAGCTCTCCTTACACCTCTCTTTAGACCTGGACAATAGTACCACCTTTACCTTTGCTCAGTTTCCCATCAGGTGGCTTAACTCACAGTCCAGGTCCCCTCTGGAGGCACATTTGAACGGGGCTTCAGTCCTCACAGCTTCTTTATACAGTTTTGCCATAATGGCAAAATCCCTTTTAACAGTATTTAAGCCATTAACCATTCCAGTCTCTCACACCAAGCCTGACAGAATTCAGGAATCATTTGGATAATGCTTTCAGGAACAAGTTGTGACTCTTGGGGCTGTCCTGTGCAGGATCAGGAGCTGGACTTTGATGGTCCTTGTGAGCTCCTTCCAATTCAGGATATTGCATTCTATTATTAACTCCATTTCTATTTTGTCATTAAGGGATTTTTCTTCTCCCTGGGAGAAGACCTCAGCAAAAATAACTGTGATGTCCTCGGCCCCAACTGTTTGGGTGTTTTAATGCTCTTCTCTGCCAGACTTGTCAGGTTTAGCCACCATCACCTCTGGGGCAGCCACTGGGGTGAAATCCAAAGTGCTGCAACATTTCAGGTCCTCTGTAAAACCAGAGTTGGTGCAAAATCCCATCATCTTTTGAAACATCCTATCTCCAGAGGATGTCATGGGGTCCAGTGTTTCCATTGAGTGCCTGCTGCTCCTTAGATTGAATTTGAAGTGTTAGATTTTACTGTAAATCACCACACAACTGAAGACCTGCAGTGAGAGAAGGTCTCTGATTGAGGCACTCGGGTGCTGCTTGCAGCTGAGTCACTCAGGCTGCAGTGGTACCAAAACAAATGTACAGAATAGCATGGATTTAGATTTAAAAGCACTTTGTAAAGTCTAGGTTTTTCTCTCTTTGTCTTTTAGAATTAGAGGGAATTTTCATTGTAGAAAATAGGGGAGTATCTTTTAATCTCCTCAGTCTTTGCTCTCATTATAAGGTCAGCTTGACTTGGTGATCACCATGGTAAAATTCTTGTAGTTGCATCTTACAATTTTTAAGTGCATAGCAAAGTGGAGTTTCTATCTTCATCAAGTACATTTGAGTTGGTAAAATATGAAACAAATCTATATATATGCATTTATAAATCTGCATATATATGCCATTTTATTACTTAGACTTGTATAATTCACATTTCCATACTGCAGTCACAAAAGATTAAAAATATTACATAGATGGAAGATATTTGGTTCACAGCAAGCTCTTCAATCAAACAGCCAGAGAGATATTAAAAAAATATATATATATTCAAATGCCTGGAAGTTGAAAGTCACCACATTCATATTAGAAGTAAAACATGCATCTTAAAAGAGAAATCATATATTTATTGTGTTATTTATCTGGGATTCTTCTTCACTGGAAAACTTTCTGTGAGTTAAATGAATGCTGTGTGTAGAAGATATACTGTATTTGAAAAAAAAATCTTAGGAACTCTTATGGCTTCTTCTACAAAACATATTAAAAAATATGAAAATGGTCCATTTTTCTGCTGAAATCAATCAGTGCATAAAATCCATTAGTTTTGAATATTACTCTGGTTTCTTCTGCCACTGGTGGCTGTCAGCCCTTTTTAGAAGCTGTCTCCAACCTCAGATCTGTGATTCCTACATTTGTGTAACCATAAATCCAGGTGTCTGCAAGACAGAATCAGTCTTTCTGTCTTGCAGCTCAGAGAAATGAAGTCTCAGACTTTGTTGTCTTGGAAACAAGGTTTTAAATATCAAGGTCCTGTTAGTTGTGCACAAAAATTAGAGTCATTCTGGTGTATTTAGAAGGCCTTACTAAGAGTAGTCCTTTAATTCAATATTCAATATAATTTTTTCTTTTACCTTTGTGTCTAAACAAAAGGAAGATCCTATTTTATATGGGCTGCATCTCCAGGGGATCAGCAGAGACAAAGCAATGGAGCAACAGTGAAAAGTGTGGAAATGCTTGAAATGGCAGCATACAGATAAAAGTTAACTCCACTTCTTCACCCTAATGCAAAATGCAGCTGTTTGGGGAAGAAAATGAGTGTAAAATTCACCGCATTTGAAAACATGAAAAGAGTGAATTGGAAAGATCACTTTGAATTAGATCCCACTTGTACAGAGGGGAAATAGAAAGATGCCTTGTGCTTTTAGTCTATTGCTAACAGTTGCATTACTTGCTCTTTTGGTTTGCACTAGATTTTCTCCAAGTTCAACATTTATACCCATTAAATTTCAGTCTTTTAAAGGCCACAGAATTTAAGATCATGAATGTCAGAGAGTAACAGCAATACATTTTTTCTGGATATTTCTTCAAGGATAAGTCCTTGCATACAATTTTCAGAATATTTTTTTTCTTTTTAAGAGGCAGCTTCATGTCTTTACTGGTTGCCATGTTGAGATGTAATATTTTGATGTAATATCTTTACTTCAAGTTTTACTATGAAAGCCTTGGGAAGGACTGCACATTTTGTTTTATAATCTTATTTGTAAAACTGGAGACAGAGGAAACTAAGAGGAGTATATTTGGGTTATGAGAAGGTACTGGCTTTACAATGTTCAGTAAAACTGACTTGTTGAGTGGATTTGGAGGATGGCCAGCTGGTTTATTGAAGCTCTCCACCCTGTTCTTGTTCTGAACAGCAAAGCCCAGGCAGATGAAAAGCTGAGCTTTGTGATAGCAAACACTCTGCTCAGGGAGTTGTAGGATTCTCTTTGTAGTTTGCTTGTTTATGGCAGATTTTAAGGTCTCATCCTGCCCTCGGGCACCTGACTAGAGGGAGCAAAGAGATTAAAGGTGATTGGAAACAAGACCATTGGATGGATAGCAATCCTTCTATTTTACCTGTGACAGTAAAAAGAAGGTAAATTCATTTTTCATCTGAACTTCTTCTCCTGCCTGTCCTGTTACACACTCTCTGTGCATTTCTCTCTTCAGAGGTGCAGACCAAGTTTCATTACCACACTGTCACACTTGGTTATTTCTTCCTCCAGCACTCAGAATCAAAGCAGATATTTAATTCATACTCTCCAAGTCACACGAAGATGGCTGTGTTTTACTCTCCCCATCCTGTGCACTTCACTGTGCAGCTACACACAGGGATGTGCACTTGGTTTGGAAGCCAGGCTGGAACAGAAATATCACCAGAAGATTCCTGCGTTACGTTGGAGGCTTTGGAGCCGTTCCTGGTGACTGAGCATCCCCCAGACAGAGCTGTAATGACAACTGGCAGTGATTAGCACCTCTGCTAGGAAACTTGACATTGTCTCCAAGCACCAAATGCCAGCCTGGATAATTTCTTCTGTGCTGCTTTGGACTTCCAGGCTGTCACTGGGGGTGATGGGTGTCCAGTAAGGTGAGGATTTCTCTGCAGTTACTGTGGTTTTCTTTTCCTGTTACCTTTGTCATGAACTGCAGAACTTACTCATGGCCAGGTTGTTGTAGCAGATGCTATTCAACTATAAAATTGAATATAATCTTCTTTCTAAAGTTTCCACTTTTTTTGCACCATCTATATTAACCATCATACTAAATACTGATTTTAATAAGACTGTCTCTCTGTATATAAATATGGGCTGTTTTTCTCCTAACTTTATGCTAGAAGTTGAAAAATCCCAAATGAACATATCCATCAATTATTTTTTTTTCTCTCTCCTTCCAACATTTTAAACAATCTGAAGCCTGAAAATATGTAACTTGATTTAATCAATCTTCTGAGAAACCTTCCCATCATTTGTAGCATCAGCAGCAGAGACATTACAGTCTCAGCTGGGGGATGAGCCAAATCTAAAGCTGTGTATATGAAAAAGACCATGTGAACTAACAAGATTACACAGATTATAAATTTCATGTTGTTTTCAAAACCAGTTGACATAATTTACAATTTCTTTCAATGGGAAATCTCCTATTTGCTTTGATTAATTTTTCTTCCAGGATATTAGCTGCTTTTTCCCAGGTATTTACTTTCTCTTTTGAAGATTACATGTAGTTTCCAGTAACATAATAATGTTAGTGTCCATTTATATATGAAATAATATTATTTTAAAATACTGCATTCCAGTTGTTAGTGTTTCCAAAGGATGTTTGTTCCTGGAACTGCATTCATCATGTTAACAGCATTAAGAGAAATTGCAGGAAGAAAAGTTGTGGCAAGGTAATGACAAATGCCATTTGTAAAGAAAACCAGGGTTGAAACAATTTAATTTTTAAGACAATTCAATTTCAGTTCCTGACTGCCGGGGCAGACAAATTCATTTCGGAGAAGAACGGAACAGCGTTTCCTGGGCAGGTAGTCAATGAAATAAGAGCTCACTGTGCAGAGGACTTGTTCTGTGTCCTTTGTAAGCTTCTCATCTCCTGTCTGTGGCTTTCTCTCCTGGGTGTGTCTCTCTCCAGACCCCTGAGGAGCTCGAGGACGACTCAGACTTCGAGCAGGAGGATTATGACGTGCGCAGCCGAACGAGTGTCCAGACTGAGGATGACCAACTCATTGCTGGCCAGAGTGCAAGGGTGAGTACAAACCCCACACGCCTCCAGTGAGTGTCCAGTAGTGACCAATAAAATCTCTGCCTCAGGAAGCAAAGGCAGTGATTTCCAGTCCTCAGGGCTGTTTAACAAAGGATGGGACCAGTCTGATGGAGGTGTTGAAGGTTTTTTTCATGTCAAACCTATTGAAGTAGCATTTATTGAATGGTCTTGAGGCTTTTGTGGTGCCTAGTATCAGCTGCTTGCTCCAGCTAGTGCTGTAAGAGGAGGCTTTGCAGGTTTGGAATGTGCTGAAACCGTGGGAG